TTTGCACATACAGTACTGCATTGTCAGTGAAGGCAAACACAGGCATACAGGTGGATAGATGGGTGGACAGGCTGAACTATTAGGTATGTCTATGCAGCAGGGAGTGTACCCAAGACCATGTATAGGGTTGGCAGACAATGGTTTTACAAGTGTATTTGTATGTTCTATAAGAATTCCCAGGGGTATAGTAGATCTGACAAGGGACAAGGTTGTAGTCACTTCTTGGTCACAGTTCAAGTAGTTGAACTGGTGGGCTCAGGACCATAGTTGCAGGGGACATCAAGCTCAATTGGCATAACATACTACATAAAACATTGTTCTACCTCCTATTTCGGCGAGTAGCAAGTGGGATCTTAAAAGCTTGCAAGCAGCCATCTAGATGCAATGATGGGTCTCTCTCATCCAGGACAAAGAAGAATTAAGAAAAGCAAAGATTCACGGAACCAATTAGTTCTCGCAACTGGTACATCATGCGATCCTCGGCCTATATGACTAGGTGACCAGAAGAACTAGATGGTGCCCAGTATCACTGTCAAGTACTCAGAGAGGGATCTATGTAGGAGATCCTGGATAGAGAAGGAGAACAATGTGGAAGAAAACTCAAAATCATTTGGGGAAAAAACAAAAAAAGAGGGGACCAGCTTTGCTGGTCTGATAGAGCCTGGTGGAACCACTGAGATTATGGCCCCTTGCTGTTCTTTAGGTCTGGAATTGAACCCATACCTATGGCTTCCAGTCAAACAAAAGACAGGCATATGAGTTTAGCCACTCCTCGGAAGGAAGATGGGGCAATCTACTTCCGTAATGATACAGCCTCGGAAACCCAAGGAGGGGTTGCTATGAGTCGGGTCCGACTCGACGGCACATAACAACAACAACATGAGTTTAACATTTATCTGAGGTAGATACATTCCTTGGACAGAACAATCATGGGAGAAAAAGGGGCTTTTTACGCACCGGGAGACAGCTCAGGGGGCAGGACTGCATGGAGGGATGGACATAGGGAAGAGGTAACTATTGAGAGAAGTGGGAGGGGAGCTCTTGCACTGGGGTAAATTGTAGTCAATGTCATGAGACAACGTGTGTGTGAATTTCTGTATGGAAAGTGAAT